GGGTGGACAGAGAGACAAATATGGGTGGGACAGACGTGAGGGAAATAGGTAGAGGGAAGCCCAGGAATCTCGGGAAGGGGAATTGGAGAAAAAGGTTGGGGCTGTCTCACTCACTGTCCCCATCAAAGTTATGACACAAAGACACAGAATCCCTGTTTCCATGCCCTCCCCCACCCCTCCCCTCCCACCGTGCAAACATGGCTTTGCAAAGAGGTGCCCAGAGTTCTGTGGAACTCTTACAATGGCTGGCATGGGGTCTGAGACCCCCAAAGAAATCTGCGTTCCCCTTCCCTGCCCACCCCACCCTTCCCAGAATCTGACCCCCTCCCCATATGACCTGGTTCTGTAGCCTAGGGGCCCTGGCCTTCCCCCAGTTATCTTCCCCTAACCCAATCCCTACTGCCCTCCCTGGACTTGGGGGCTCTGGACCTTTGGCCCCTGCCCCATGGGGGACCCAGACCTCTGGGCACTTACTTCTGGCCCTTGCAGAGATCCAGGCATCTAGCACCCCCATCCCTGCCAAAGTGTCTGAGGTGTTAGTGGTGGGGAGAGAAGCCCACCATCCCAGACTCTGGCAAATGTCTTTGCTGGTTCCTTGCAGCTGGCAGTGGGGGGGATCCCAGCCCAGGCCTAGGCCTGGGATTGGGGGTGGGGTCAGATGAAGAATTCTTCTTTCCTCTTATGTCCATCGCTGCCATTGAGGAAGGCTTCTCTCGCTTCTCCCTGCTCATCCAAGCCACTGGCTTCATGGGTCAGATAGGAACCTGTGGGGATGACAGACCCCCCCAGGGCAGAGGGAACATATATGTAGACCCAGGAGACGAACAGAAATATAGAGGTGGAGGGAAACAGACAAGACAGACACCAGATGAAAAGGAAGAAACAGAACACACAGGGAGTTACGTGCAGGGAATAGTAAAATAGTGGCAGAGAAAGAGGGAAAAGCAGAATTAGGAAGACTCCAAAAGCTCATAGTAAGAGCTACCCTTATAAAAAAAAAAGAGCTACCCTTATCCCTTCTCTTGGTGGCATCGCCCTTGCTCTGCTCCCAAGAAATCCAGCAAATAGAAGGTAAGTTATTACCTTCAAATAATAATTCAAATCTATGCTCTTAATGCAGCTTCTAAGTTCCACTCCTTTTGTCCTGGGCCAGAAGCCCTCCTCCCTTATAACCTTGGCCTCAGGTCCCCTGATTTCCAATTCTGGGTCCAGGCTCCTCCCCCTCCCCCCATACACTTACTGTCTTGGCTCTCACCCCGCCTCCTTTGAATCCCACAACCAACCATACCTCTGGCTGAATTCAGGCCCCGCCCCCACTTACCCTTCTGCCGTACAGAGCACCAAACCATGCCCACTAGCACACATATGATTAGAAACACCAGGAGTGCCAGGATGCCGCCCACAATGGCATATGGAACTGACGTCTGAGCTTCTACCACTGCACCGGGGTCTGCCAGAGGGACAGGGTATAGGAGCAAGTCTATCAGAGGACGATTTCTGTCCACCCATTGCTGCAAAGCGCTTAAACCGTTCTGCAAACCACATCTAACCTTTATGTGCCAAGCCTCTCAAAACCTAATGCCACCTTGTTTCCTTCTCATAGCTCCCCTCTTT